TTATATATAAATGTATGTTTATTTTTTAGTTGTAAGTGGACATCTTCATTTTATTTTAATGTGGTGCTGAGGATTGAACCCAGTACCTCTCATGTGCTAGGCGAGCGCTCTACCACTGAGCCACACCACAGCCCCCAACCCCTTTTTAAAAAATGTTTTTTAGCTGAATGCAGTGGCACACATCTGTAATCCCAGCAGCTCAGGAAGCTGAGATAGGAGGATCCCGAGTTCAAAGCCAACCTTAGCAATGGTGAGGTGCTAAGCAACTCAGTGAAACCCTGTCTCTAAATAAAATACAAAATAGGACTGGGGATGTGGCTCAGTGGTCAAGTGCCTCTGAATTCAATCCCTGGTACCCGCCCCCCCTCAAAAAAATTTTTTTAGTTATTAATGCACCTTATTTTATTCATTTATTTATATGCAGTGCTGAGAATAGAACCCAGTGCCTCACACATATGAGGCAAGCGCTCTACCGCTAAGCCAGCTCTCCCAGCCCTTTTTAATATTTTATTTAGAAACAGGGTCTCGCTGAGTTGCTTAGGGCCTCACTAAGTTGCTGAGGCTGGCTTTTAACTTGGTGATCCTCCTGCCTCAGCCTCCCAAGCCATTGGGATTACAGGCATGTGCCACTGCGCCCAGCAAGAGAGATATGGTTCTTAACCACTATGTAATACTGCCTCACTCTTTTGTGGCTCCATACTTAAAGCTACCCATTAAATAACTGACTTACAAGGGAGGTGTGTTCATAGCTGGAGTTAGCAATAGTATGTAACATGTCTGTAGCTTCTAAGACTGCAAAGAGGTTGCTTACACATGTCTACATTTTCAGGCTCTCTTTTTACCCCATTCTGAGTTGAAATGTACTCATGAAGAGATAAAGGAGACCAGGTCACAGGTGAAGCACCAGGGAGAGGGTCTGCTGCCCATTTAGAAATTTCTTTTTTTTTTTTTTTTAAGAGAGAGTGAGAGAGAGAGAGAATTTTAATATTTATTTTTTAGTTATCGGCGGATACAACATCTTTGTTTTGTATGTGGTGCTGAGGATCGAACCCGGGCCGCAGGCATGCCAGGCGAGCGCGCTACCACTTGAGCCACATCCCCAGCCCCTAGAAATTTCTATTTTACCTTCTTGTACAAGGACTCTGTGCAACTCTCTAGCTCACTACCCTGGCAGGCCCAACTACCAGGATCATATTCTTCAGAACTTTCTAGCAAAAGGTTGGAGACCTCCTTTTGCTTACAAAGTATTGGATTCTTATCAAGGGAAATTGGTCTTGAGTTATTCCACAGAGAACCAGGCCAGGGAAAGTCGCTGCCCCATGAAGGGTAGGTGGTAAGTGCAAAGTTGTTAGGCAGGAGACTGGTATCTGAAGTCTACTTCCAGATTGGCATGGTGGCTCATGGCTATAATCCCATCGATTTTGGAAGCTGAGGCAGGAGGATTGCAAGTTCAAATTCAAGGTCAGCCTCAGCAATTTAGCAAGAGCCAGTCTCAAAATTAAAAAAGAAAAAGTGGGGGTGGGGGGAGCTGGGGATGTGGCTTAGTGGCACAGCATCCCCAGGTTCAACCCCTAATACCCTTGCCCCCGCCCCTCTCAAAAAAAGTCTACTCCCAGGCAAAAATACTTAGATAAAAATAATTTTTGAATACCCTGTAGGGAGGGCACCATGGTGGAGACCCTATGAAGTCTCACCTGAGTGATTTGTCTTCCAGGGTTGGCATACAGTGATTGGGCACCAGATAATGATGTTTTCTGCATTTCATACTACTCAACAGACATTATCTGCTTCTTACTCCATCTTTTTACCCAATTCTGAGATGAAATGTACTGAATCTCTTTACATGTATTATAAGCAAGGTGTTAAAATGAGCTTGCCTTATTTCCTGTCAAGGTAACCTTCTTACCCTCAAGACAAGCTGGTCTACAGCTGTTTGTCTGCACCAGATCTTTGGGAGTAGAAAGAATAGGGCCTCAGGGACAGAGGTCATTTAGAAGGCACGTTTTTGCAGTCTGTAAAAAGCAGAAAAGTGGTTTTTTTTTTTTAATGCACCTGTTTAAAATATATACTGATGTGATATATGTAAATGCAATTCTAAATTCCATTCCAACTAGCAGTATGTAAGTTCTGAGCCCTGAGGGGAAATGTTTGCAGAAGTTCATCGCTGTTTCAAATCTCATTGAAACCCCTCAAGATGTACCTTTTGTTTTCTTGGGCCTTTAAACACAGGTAAGTCCTCTTCCTGTTTCTAGAGCCAGAGGGATTGTGAACTCTGGAGGAATTTTCTAGGTCAGGGATGTTAAATGAGTGGCATATGGGTTGCCACTCGTTCCTGCACCTGTAGCAGGCGTTACTCATTGATCACAGCACTCTCCTGTCAAATCTAGGCACTGCCTTTGGATCTTTCAGGACAGTGTTCAGTATCAATTGAGCAGAATTAGCAAGTGAGTTAATCTTGCTGCCAACCTTGATCCAGTGATGAGTAGCCTTTCCTCCACCCACTCCACTCCCTGCAGGAAGTGGGTTTAAGAAAGTTACAACCATCTGTCATTCACACATGGTGCTCAGATGGGAGCACATTTGCCAATGGTGCTTTTGCCACTGTATGTTCAAATACACACATGCTTTAAAGCATATGGACAATCGCATTGCATCTACTTATTTGGTGTCACTTCATCTATACCACCAATCATATTTATATCATCCAGACAATGATAGATCTTGCTGATTTATTTAATAATTTAAGATTTCAGCATATGCATAAAGCTCATTTTAAAATCAGTTAGGCTGGGTGTGGTGGTGCACGACTATAAATCCCAGAGATTAGGGAGGCTGAGGAAGGAGGATCACAAACTCGAGGCCAGCCTCAGCAACTTAAAGAGGCCCTAAGCAACTTAGCAAGACCCCATCTGAAAATAAAAAATAAGGGCTGGGGTTGTGGCTCAGTGGCAGTGCGCTTGCCTTGCACATGTGAGGCACTAGGTTCGATCCTCAGCACCACATAAAAATAAATAAACAAAATAAAGACATTGCATCCATATATAACTAAAAAATATTTATAAAAAATAAAAAGGTCTGGGGATGTGGCTCAGTGGTTAAGCACCCCTGGGTTCAATCCCTGGTACCAAAAAAAAAAAAAAAAAAAAAAATATATATATATATATATATACACACACACACACACACACACACACAATTGGAAACTGTGCAAAGGGAAACTATGGAGGCTTGAAAGAAGCACCACACATTTATTAAATTCTGAAAACAAGAACAATCAATCTTTCTTTTTTCCTCCCTTGTGCTGGGCATTGAACCCAGGGCCTCATATATGCCAGGCAAGTGCTCTCTCTGCCACTGACTATATCCCCATCAATCTGGAGTCCTGCATTTGGTGTAATTATCCTAAAAGGATGAAAGGGAATAAATATGTTATTGGAAGAAGGGAAACACAATTTGTGGAGACCTTCCTTAAAGGTAATTCTCCAAACAAAGTAACAGAGGAAGGCGGGGATCCTCAGAAAGGAAAAAAACGACAAAACAGAAGAAAACAGTTCACTATCATTCACCTCATGAGTTTCTTTATTTTATGGTTGAAGCAAAAGTAATATCTTCTGATGTAGTACTCATACTTTATCCACAAGATACTGTAGTACTCAGAATCTTGTGGAGGAATTCAGATAATTATGTTTTTAAAATGAGGAGGGGACGGGGGCTGTGGCTCAGTAGTGGAGCTCTTGCCTAGCATGCATGAGGCACTGGGTTCGAACCTAGTGCCTCACATGTGCAAATAAATAAATAAAACTAAATAAACAAAATAAAGATATTGGGTCCATTTACAACTAAAAATATTTTTTTTAAAAAAGTAAGGAGGTATTTTGGTTTAGGTATGTCCTCTGGAAGCTCATGTGTGAGACAATGCAAAAATATTCAGAAGCACAATGATTAGATTGTGAGGGCTTTAACCTAATTAGTGGATTAATCCATTGATATGGATCAACTGGGTGGTAATTGCAGGCAGGTAGGGTATAGCTGGAGAAAGTATGTCATTGGGGGTTTATATTATGTCTCTGGTGAGCCAGGCTCTCGTGCTGATTCCTGGTTGCTATGTCCTGAGCTGCTTTCCTCTGCTGTGCCCTCGTACTGTGATGTTCTGCCTTCCCTCAGCCCCAGAGCTATGTAGTCTGCCAATGGACTGAACCTCTGGAACCTGAGACAAAAATAAACTTTTCCTCTGCTAAGTTGTCCTAGTCAGGTATGTTGGTGATAGTGATTCAAAAGCTGATTAAAGCAGAGGACAAAA